GATGTACAATTTTACGAAGCGCAAAAAGTAACCAATGGCCGCTAAACTTAGCAGGCAGACGACAAAGCGAGCGTTCTTTCCACCACGTTTATGTCTGTTTCTTTTCTTCGCCGTTTGGTTGTGCTATCCAGGTGAGTGGACTTCATTTTAGAATATAATACACGTGAATGAGACCCGCTTTAAACGTTTTATTTTAGAGAAGCTTTATTTATACGCAGTCATAATCGCTTTTGAGCCGAAGCTTCGCTCAACACCAGCCAACACAAGCCTCGCAGACACATATACCGTCATTCCCAGCGCTCCAACATCGCGCCTTAAGAAATTAGCATAGATGGTGGCGCCACACTTCCCCCTAGGTATTTGTGAGAAACTCTATGCTGCATATAAACGGAGCAGGGAACGACCTACACGCTAAGGAGCTTCGTCCCTAAAAAGTAGAGGAGGCACTGACGTAGTCCTTCAAGTCAAACCAGCATTCTTTTTTACTTGCTAATAATTTGTATGAAAAAAAAACATTACATCGCGCCTTAAGAAATTAGCATAGATGGTGGCGCCACACTTCCCCCTAGGTATTTGTGAGAAACTCTATGCTGCATATAAACGGAGCAGGGAACGACCTACACGCTAAGGAGCTTCGTCCCTAAAAAGTAGAGGAGGCACTGACGTAGTCCTTCAAGTCAAACCAGCATTCTTTTTTACTTGCTAATAATTTGTATGAAAAAAAACATTACACCATCTCCGGTAAAGGTAACTATTTGTAGATGCAAAGCAGCGGACATTAACGCTTGCGCTGGTGCCGGCGTTGACGCTGGCGTTCATCACGGCGTCGCGCAGGAGAAAAACTTGGGGAGGTGGAAAGCACGCAGTGACGGGCTGGTGTTTTCTACTAGGACATGTCAATCGGCAATGACAATCGGCAATCAGCTAATCGGCAATGAAAGACGGACGACTCCGATTGTACAGAGACCTGCAGTACGCTTTTAGTTAATGCGCACGCTGCGAGTTTTTATTGTTCAACAACGCACAGGAGCAATCTCCCACTGGAACTACCTTGGAGGTGAAGATGCAGTGCCTATATCTATACGAAGTGGCCACGAATGGTTGTGCAGCGCGAGCAGTCAGTTTTAGATGCGGAGCATCTAATACTCGAGGCTTGTAGTGCGGCGCCGTCCGCAAGCTTCCTCCTCCTTCTTCCACCATCTGTGCATCCCTTCCTCCTCTACACACCGCGCGCGCTTCACTCCCCCACCATCTGTGCACCCTTCCTCCTCTACACACCGCGTGCGCTTCTCCTCTTCACGAACATTCGCTAGCTGTATAATGTAGCGCGCATGCGCCGTCACGCTTCGAGAACATCGGCAGCTGACGCGCGCGCATGCGCCGTCGCGCTTCGAGAACATCGGCAGCTGACACGCGCGCATGCGCCATTGCGCTTCTCCCCCTTCTCGAACATTAGACAGCTGACGCGCGCATGCACCGTCCCCCACCATCTGTGCCGCGCGCGCTTCTCCCCTTCGAGAACATTCTACAATTCTCCTGATTCTCCAGTGGACGCGCATGCGCCGTCGCGCTTCGAGAACATTCAACAGCTGGCAGTGCATGCGCCGTCGCGCTGTATATATACTCAAGGTCGGCGCTCGCTCGCTCAGTTGCCGCTCGTCGGTTGGTTTGTACGGCGCGTCGACGTCCAAGGTCGCGGTGAAATGAATTCCAACGAATCCACAAACACAATGATGGACGTCCCTTCGACCAGCGCCGCCCTTTCGCATACGTGTGTACGTGTTCACTCATTTAACACCCCCTCCTACAACCACGTTAACCAATTTAGCCATCGACCCAAGTAAGTCGCAATTTAACACCCCATTTCACAACCACGTTAACCAATTTAGCCATCGACCCAAGTAAGTCGCACTTTAACACCCCGTTAACCAATTATATGCTCCGCATCCTCCTCAGTGTTCCCCCGAGGGAAGCTGCGGGCATTTTTTTTTTCAAACAAGAGGCTTCCTGCGGGGGAGTTGCGATGCGAGAGTGGTGGAAGAGCGTAGGAGAGGAGAGAAAGTGGAGATGACGCGCATGCGCAATGAGTGTGTAAATGCCACTGAGAGTGGGGCACCGATAGGACGAAGAGGTGGGAGCGAGCATAGACTACGCAGCCTGCGCCGGCGTCGTGAAGCGAGTAGGGTGGGACAGCGTAGAAGAGGAGAGATGGGGACGAGGTGAATGCGCTTTAAGGGTGGTCACGCCACACACCTGATTGAGCTTGACCCTTAGACGCTTCGATTCTAAAACACTCTGTATTAAATACGAAGCATTTCTTACCGAACTTCGGCGACGAGCGTATCTATCTATCTATCTATCTATCTATCTATCTATCTATCTATCTATCTATCTATCTATCTATCTATCTATCTATCCATCTATCTAGCCGTTTACGACTTTTAGCTCTCCTGGCTGTTGGATAATGGTATTGATACCAAACTTGGTATGGCATAACATTACTGTATGAGGAGCATATTTGACTAGTCATAACATTAAAAAAAGACATTTAAGTCATGAATGTCATGATTTACATTTCATGGTGTTGCTGCTCTTGTGGTGGTTTCGTTCACATGGCATGTTGCAAAACGGGTATGGTATGACATGATTGCATGGTGAACACAAGCGACAAACCCTAACATGAAAATCATGACATACGTCATGTAACAACATGACTACATGTCCGTTCATGAAGCACTCGTGGCTATTTCGTTAGCGCCCCATATACGAAATTTGGTAATACGGTTCGTGAATGAATGACGAAGGTAGGTGACTAGTGAAAACATAATCATGAGATGCGTGTCATGTAACAACATGCTATGCTCATGATGCGCTGGTGGCCGTTTCACTAGCTTCACTTATACCAAATTAGGTATAACGGGGCGAAGGTATGAGACAGGTGCAAACATGATTAACATGACATGCGTGTCATGTAACAACATGACTACATGCCACGCTCATGACGTGCTCGCGGCCATTTCGTTAGCGTCACGTGTACTAAATTTGGTATTACGATACGGGAATGGACGACATGAGTAAATATCACAGCAAAACACAATAATCACGACATGCGTGTCATGTGACAACATGACTACATGCCACAGTCAAGGTGCAAATACACTACGACGTGACACAGCGCGCGTGCGCGCCGGCGTTCATTTCGTCGCGCCACGCCAGTCGCCGGTCCTGCCATACATACTGCCGGTGCGCGCCACGCCGAGTCGCTTTGACGCATGCGCGTTTTAGCGCGTTCAACGTCCCCCCGTCACGAAAAGAGGCATGTCGCATTTCGCGCTGGTTGGCGTCGGGTCGCGCCGACGGACGCTGGTCGTGCCGGTCGCGCCTGGCGTCAGACTATAATCCTCACGTTTTGCTAACGTATAGCGTCGCTGCTCCCTGTGTGCGTGCATGTCTACGTTACGTTTGAGTATATTGGGCTCTTCATAATGCACTCGCAGCCATTTCACTTGCTCCGCATATACTAAATTTGGTGTTACGTGACGTCAATGGATGACGAAGGTATATGAGTGGTGCAAACATTATAATCATGACACACGTGTCATATAAGAACATGACGACATACCACGTTCATAAAGTGCTTGCGGCCGCTTCGCTATGTTCCCATATACTGAATTTGGCATCACGTGATGTGAATAGATGACAAAGGTAAACGACACATTCAAACATGATAATCATGACACGGAAGTCGTGTGCGGCATAATTTACCTTCACCTCGTAACGTTGAGCTGATTTTAAAGTGACATATCAACCTTCCTCATTTGTGCTTCGCATATCATCGCTTCCCACTGTACGTGGGATCTGCCAAGTTTTTTTACTTGTTATGGCATGCTTGATTTGAGGTGCGTATCGATTTGTGGCTACCGAATACTGTTGTGCGTAACGTTCCCGATCGGCCACTGTTCAGCCGCTTAACACGAATGCTGCGCAGCGTATCCTGAAACGGTTCGCTTGACGCCAGCGCCGCGTAGCTTTCGGTTCTGTTTCCGAGATGTTCCCAATGGATGCGGACATACTATCCGAACATACCGATGTGCCACAGCACCCATCGCTTCGTGGATATGATACCACGCTGCAGAGCGTGCGAGTTCAGCTTGCTGATGGCTGTACATATATGCAAAGCGTGGAAATGTGGAAACCAAACTCAGTGTGTATTGAAGCTTTGAACTACAAAAAAAAAACGCGTATCTGCAGCCTCGCACGAATTCGAATGTAACAAATAATTGTTTTATGAAATTGTGGCTGAACTCCTAACTTCTTCTTAAGAAGTAGCTCGAGTCAAGCAGGCTAAAAGACAACATCCCAACCGGTTGTCTTTCCTTCGTACCGAATGTTCCCCCGAGACCAAATTATCACCATATTGAAGATACCGGGTTAGAATAGGTTCCATTTCATCATTAAGACTTTGATCAATTGACTCATCCACAGCGGTGGTGTAGCGGTTTCGGGGCTCGGCTGTTGATCCGAAGGTTGTTGAGTCTGAACCTGGGAGCGGTGGTCACGTTTCTATCAATTAATTATATGTGGGGTTTAACGTCCTAAAACCACCATATGATCATGAAAGACGCCATAGTGGAGGGCTCTGATTATTTCGACCACTTGAAGTTCTTTAACGTTCCCCCAAGTTTGAGCACACGGGCCTACAGCATTTTCGCCTCCATCGAACCATTTTCATTAAAGCGAAAAGGTTGAGGCCCGTGCACTGTAAGATAGATGTCAGTGCATGGTGAAAAACACCAGACGGTCAAAATTTCCAGAGACCTCCAATACGGTGCCTCTCATTATTATACCGTGATTTTTATGACGTAAACACCAATCAGTATGGATTGATTAATCGAATGTCTGATTTATTTACCTGTTTATTCATTTATTGATGTATTGAATAAATAATTAATTGACTTATTGATTGATTGATTGATTGATTGATTGATTGCATCGTGCAGGACGTCGTCTTGCGGCCTGGACCAAAGTTGCAAGGAGTGGCTCCGGCGAGCGAAGGAGCTGAAGCGCTCGTTTCACTGGCGCTCCTCTTACTGGGGACGCCGAGCCCAGCGCCACTTGTCCGAGATCAAGTGGAAGTAAAGGAATCGCGCATAGCGGCGCAGAACCGCGCCCTTTCACAGTGCGATCCGCCACCACGTTTGTACATTTGGTGGGGGATAAAAAGTAAATATCGTTCAATTAAGCCCGGTTTATATACTGGTCCTGACATATTTTTGATAATTATTCGTCTAAATATTAGGTACAGTGTTCGCTGTCTGCTCTTCAAACATTTCGTTGTAGAACTTTGTTCTGTGTGTAATTACTATTGCGCGAAATAAACCAGTTGTGGCCGTTTCGCACATCGTCTGAACTGTGCCTTTACAACCTAGTGTTTTAGGATGAAAAGGTTTCGCGCAAAAAGCAACAGTTCAAGAAACTCTTTAAGCAACCGGAATGCCAATGACGACAAGGGGAGCCAAGGATGAGGAAAAGCAATACCGCCCTGCCTGCCCGGAACGCACAACACAGTCGCATCGTATATAATAAATTGCGTCAATGAGCGAATGGGCACCTCGCGCTGCACTCTGTTGACTTAACAAGCAAGGAACTTCACTTTTTGGAGTCATGTAATGCGCGCCTTGGCACTTTTGCAGACGCTATTGTCGTGACAAGGTCTTCACTTACCCTTGCCGGCACATACGCTCTGGACACGTGTTGACGCGAATGTTGTCCGAACGAACAATCAGCACGTTACAAACCAAGGTGCTTGGGCTAAAGATCGACATCCGCCGTGTGCTTGTAGGAGAAGGCCCGGGTACTGTGATTTTGGTGCAGTTGAAAACCTGTGGGGCAGAAATTTCCGGAAGCTCGTTTTAACGTTTCTTTTTTTTTTAAGGAAGGAGGCTTCTTATTGGCGTGGCTAGTGCATCCAGTTGTTGTATGTAACCACCGGTGGCACATACCAGAGAGAGTGATCCTTGGAATGTGCGCTAAATGGCGGTACTTGTATATGATGAATACATGATGGAAATATGCAAGACAGCTGTACTTGGAGTGTTCACTAGGGACGTGCGGACATACCCGAGAGAGTGGACCTTATAGAATGTCCGCTGAATGGCGGTACTTGTATATACTGAATACATGACGAAAAGATGTGAGATAGCGGTACTTGTAAGTGTTCACTAGGTAGCTGGATGGATGGATAGACGGACGCGCGGACAGATGGATGGATGGATGGATGGATGGAGCACGAACGGACGGATGGATGGATGGATGGAGCACGAACGACGCACCAACGGTCGCACGGATGGACGGACGCACAGACGGACGCATGGACGGACGGAAGCAAGAAGGAATGGACGGACGGAAGTACGGACGGACTGACGAACGCTTTGCCCCACTAATCATCATTCACTCCGTGGATATTCTGTGATTTTTTTTTGGCGACTACACCTACATATTTTGTGTTCCCTTCTACTAAAATTTCAGTTGGAAGTAGCGCTTGTCCTGTGTCCTTCGCTCGCTTTTCGTACGTGCATTTTGCCCTTACAAAAGTTATCAGCCATGGTTTTGTGTTGTGTGGAGGCATTCACATGCTTCGTCATTCTTCAGAGAAGCGTGGTATCTGCTACACACTTGCAAATAAATTTGCGAAATTTTTCATGCTGTGACTGACGACGGTAAAGAATGATGCCTGAAGCTTTTGTAATCCGTTGGAGCATTCGGCAACCTACTCGTTACGTAATTCGCATTGTGCGACGCGTGCTTGTTCTTTTGCTATTCTAAACCGTAGTATTAATATATTCCTTTCTGGACATGAAGCCTGCCCAGGGTCAGTTTGCAAAAGTAGTTTCAAGCCCCAGCGTGACCCTGTGGTAAAATACTAAATATGCTCAGTGAATCCGGGTTCAAGTCCCAGTGTTTCCGTGGTGTTCCTCATTTACTGAGTTGTTTTTTTTTTTCTCGTTTTGAGTGATAGTGTTTACGGAGACTGGCGGCGGCGGCGGACAACTACGGTGACAAAAATGACCCTTGTGATCTCATACCTTTCACTATAAAAAATGAGTTGGTGAAAGCCTATTGAGCATTCATTTCTGGACAGGTGTGCAGAGAGAGAGAGGGGGGGGGGGGCAAAACTATTTTTTTTGTCCTTGCTGAGGTCAAGGGAGGCGGTGCCCGGGAGACTAGCCCCACCATAGCACCCATTGCTCAGGCGGTGGCCAGACCTTGGGTCTTGAAGAAATCTTTGACCCGCCGGACTGTGTTTATGCGGGCACGCGCCGAGCAGCATAGCGTTCCTCGCGGCGAAAGGCTTTCATTGCCCTGAGATTCAGAAGGATCCTTCTGAATCTCAGACCGAGTAGGGAGCCTACGTGAACGGCCGTTCATGTAGGCTCCCTAAGACCGAGGTACTTGGGCTAAAGATCGACATCCACGGGCTTGTAGGAGAAGGCCCGGGTACTGTGATTTCGGTGCAGTTCAAAACCTGTGGTGCCGAAACTTCCTTAGGCGTCTACTACGGCCTGCCTCTTCAATGATATCGTGGTCCGTAAATTAAGCCAAATCAGTAATTATATTTATTTTCTACACAGCACAGACACGTACCGGTATGCACAGATGCCACGGCCAGTTGAGTCTGCGTGTGTGTGTGCTGCGCATTGAAGTCATGACTCGGTACAAACTAGACCAGCTCTCCGTATTGTTGCTACTAATAATTATGCTCTCATGGGGCCATAACGGTGACGGCTGCTCCAGCAGGGCTCGGAAATACGTTTTAGTTGGGTGAACTTGTGTGCGGAAAATGAAGGTTCAAGTACAAGCAATTGAAGCTGCACTTTGATAGCGGCGCGAACAGCGTTGGCCGTCGACTAATCTGATGTCTAAGGCACGTAGACATTGATAAATTCAGCATCGAAGCTTCTAGCATTGCCCTTGGTGCTCATAAAGGTCACGAATAAGGCTGACCATCCTCGTCCCGGGGCGTGATTCTCAACGGGTGTCCACTCCGGTATTATCTGGAGCTCGCCGAGAAGCGTGCTCCTAGTCTCCGGTCTTTCTGCCGCTGATTGATTGATTGATTTGTGGTGTTTAACGTCCCAAAACCACCATATGATTATGAGAGACGCCGTAGTGGAGGGCTCCGGAAATTTCGACCACGTGGGTTCTTTAACGTGCGCCCAAATCTGAGCACACGGGCCTACAACATTTCCGCCTCCATCAGAAATGCAGCCGCCGCAGCCGAGATTTGAACCCGCGACCTGCGGGTCAGCAGCCGAGTATAGCCACTAGACCACCACGGCGGGGCGATCTTTCTGCCGCTATACGTCGTTTCGACGTTTCACCGCAATGAGTGCTGCCCACAAAGATCCACTTTTGGACGCGTGCACCTCTGAGGCCGTGCATGAATTCGTAAGGTTAGCCCTTGAAACCGTTTGCAACCCTGTGTGGTGTATGTCCAAGGGCACGCTACTGTGGCTGAAGCACACGCCTGTTAAAGATACCCGGTTGCTCTGCGTTGTAGGTTGAATTGTGGATCAAGAAATTATATACGAAATTGAAATAATTTTCTTAAGAAACGGCAGATCCCAGACATTGCGAGAATCGATCTAATGCGGGGCAGCCATCAATGAGCCAATCATGCTGTACATAAGATGCATAGGATATTTACATGTTAGGACCTGTCTTTATATTCGTCCTACAGTTCGATAATGCAATAACGATTTTGGTGTATACCAAAATAGCAAATGGCCGCGAGCACACCATGAATATTACATGTGAATCATGCTGTACATGACATGCATCTGATAACTTTCATGTTACCACCTGTGAGTTATGTTTTCATGTACACACGTCACAAAATACCAAATTTAATGTACATCAAGCTAGCAATCGGGCCGCAAGAATGCCATGAGCGTCGCATGCAAGTTATGTTGCACACGGCATATCATGATTTTTATATCACCACTTGTCATTTATGTACAGTACCGCTCATTGTTAAAGAAAACACTCAAATGAACACCATAAATATTGCTGGCCATCTAACAGCAAGTGGACAAAGAAACAATCTTAAGGTACAACATTAGTCTGTCAAGGAGAGATAGAACGCTCGACCACAACCCTTAAGCAAGTCTAAGCCCCTATAGTTTTGTAAGATAGCGAAAACCAATGTGCTGTGCACTGAGCTGTTCCATTTAACAGTGGACCCGTCTGTATGCCATACACTCACGTAACACTCACGTCGCGCGATATGACGCATATCAAGCTAGCAAAACGGCTGCCGGTGTACCATGCAAATTATGTTGCGCATGACATGTGCGTCATAATTTTTGTGACCTGTCATTTATGTTGGTCATGGCTATTTTTGGATATACCAAGTAAACGGCCACTGAAGTACCCCTACTATATCGTATAAAGCATACCATTTATGACAACCTATGATTTTCATTATATGACCAGTCGTTCAAGTTCATCATACAGTCATGTTTTGCAATACCAAGTTTCGTATGAATCACATTAACCATGCTGTCTGGAGAGCACAATGTCGTAGATAGATAGATAGATAGATAGATAGATAGATAGATAGATAGATAGATAGATAGATAGATAGATAGATAGATAGATAGATAGATAGATAGATAGATAGATAGATAGATAGATAGATAGATAGATAGATAGATAGATAGATAGATAGATAGATAGATAGATAGATAGATAGATAGATAGATACGCTCAAAGTCGCCGAAGCTCATTAAGAAATGCTTCGCATTTAAAACTCAAGATGTCTTAGAGAAACACACCGTGGCCATACGCAGCACAGCCACCATGCATATGGGTTGCGCTTGCGGGTGATCATGAAGTAAGATAGCTTGCACTGGCGTCACTGACATTGGAGCACCAATGGTGGGTCGTGAACTATGTGATGTCACATTAGTGTTATCATAAGTAAATTACATGCCGATTTCTTCGAATGCTCCACTGACATAATTATCGCACTGGAACAGGCCAATCGCCGTGTGATTATGCTACCTTGACGTCATATAAGCTGACATGTTAGAGCCATGCGGGTTGTTCGTGACATTACGTTCAAGCTATCAATATTTCAAAACGACAAGACTTGAGCAATAGCCGGTACCAATTCCTTTACTGTGAAGGTACGTTCTTTTTACGGTAGTGAGATTCCCCGCAACGAGCAACAGTGCTCGCGACAGTGCACTGCTTCCGTTTGGAAAATTTTCTCGCCCGGCCGAGCACTTACGTAGCAGACTTGTACACGATACAAAAAGTAACCCATTAGAATTACAGTTAGGCTACTTTCTTTTTAATGCAATTGATTATGGTGCTCGGTTACAGCCTCAGAAAAGTAACTGAGAAATATCAGAAATGTAAAATATTACTTTTGCGTAACTATAACATTTTATTGCCGTTACGCAATAACACAAGTTTCCTCTTACAACGAACTCTACTTTGCCTTGCATTGTAGGGGAAGCTGGAGGCGTACTCTGACTTTTGTGACGTCGTGTTACACACTGTTAAAGGACCCTTAAACGACTATATGAGTTCAAAGACGAGGACGTGGTTTATTTCGTGCCTTTATTACCCTTTGTACCGGCGATATCTCCTCCTCACCACTTCTTGAAAGCACGTGTACAATGTCAGCAATATGCGAAGGGTGCATCGGGATTTCGCGCTTGTCGGCTGTATACGGTAGTATCTCCGCTTACGTAGTCAGAAACACACATGATAAAGCGAAATCAGTTGGTAGCAGTCGACTAGTCATGAAACCCAAGCAAGAGAACGTCGGCGACTGCATGACCAGCGCGTCCACTATGTTATCAATGCCAGCCAGATGCGCCCGATCCAGCTGTTCACCACCCTCTCTTCTAGCCCTTTCCTGCTCTCTCCCATCACTCAGGCTTCGCCTTTGCTTTGCTGTCATGCGGAAGAGAAGCCTTCTTGCAGTGCCCCACGACGGAAATAAAATAAAGTAATTTTTTGTTCATTTGTGTACAGATTCTTGGGGTGGTGTCTTGCATTACTCGTTATCACAGCGTTGGTGGTCACGCTGGCTCTGTAAGTGGTACGGTGTTTTGAGATAGCGTGTCGCTGTTCGAGCCACAATGTGGGCAACCAATTGGAACATGTCACGGTGACGCCGGTGCATAAGTAGCGCAGTGAGGTGACGGCGGCAATGCTTGCAGCCACAATGAAGGAGCACGAAGGAACACTCCAGCAGGGACTCGCTCGCTGGATTCCCTGCCGACCGGTTGTGCCATCGTGATTTCTGACGACTGCGCAGCTCTGGCCGACTGGGTTGGTCCTACGCAACCTCCTGCCACCAGTCCCCTACGACGACGACAGCGTAGCTCTGGCCAACTGGATTAGCCCTACGCCATCTCCTGTCACCGACAAGAGTTCTCGCCAGTGGTGCCCCGTCCTCGGACTCCTGCAAACGTGTCCATCTTTCCTGTCTTCTCCTTACTTCTGTCGCTCCCTGTCCCTGTGCCCCGCTCTCTCCTTCCTCTCTCTCTATCTCTCTACCTTTTAATCCTATCCTTTTATTACCTTCTCTACCCCCATCCCTTGTAAGCTACTGTTGAGGTGTCCTCCCCCTGAGAGACAGTTACGGGGCTCACTTTTCTCTGTTCATTTGTAATCACCCCCCCCCTCCCCATTCCGACAGACGTATTGAATAGGGGCACACGTCTATCCCGTTTATACGGGAAAGCGCTCGGAAGCCCATGTGATGCAAGCAGCAAGGGGCTCTAGCCCTAACTAAAGCCCTACCACTCCTGTGGCGTCGCATCACGACCACTTTCACCGACGGCTCCCGTTGAAGGGTGCGCGTTTGCACTGCCATTGAACGAAACAAAGGAGGCTTTGGGATGATGTAGTTCACAACCGATACTTTTCGTTTATGGACCAATGGAGGGCAATACCCTAATGACGTAACGTTTAATCACCGTTATGACGTCAAGAAGCGCTTAAAAAAACTCCAAGAGCACAAGTTTTTTTGTTGTTGTTGCTCCTTCAGATGTGTTTAGGAGACCTTTATTTTTTCGTGGGAATTGCGTTTCAGAATGGTTGCCGATTCTTCCGCATCTATTTGCATCTAGTAGTAGGCGAAACAGTACTAAAGCTTTGAAGCTAAGCCGAAGAATCAAACAGCTGACACTTACGTGGGGAAAATGTGCTATTTGTAATCTATATCAGGCAACTACACTCTAAAAAAAGAGCGAGTAAAAAGGGTGTCTGTTTGTCCAACAACAATAATCGTCATCTATATTGTGTTCCGTCCTTGCGCTATCGCCCCGCGCCCGGTACATTTTGGTCACAATCGACATGCCCATTATCAGGGTTACATCGCATTCTCGATAGGAAAGTGGCCAGCGCCGAGTTGTCAAGAAAGGAAGCGCACGCAAGTCTGATTATTGTTGTGGGACAAAAAAAAACACCCTTCTGACTTGATATTTTTTTAGAGTGTAGAGAGCCGCTCTCGTACATGCTGCGAGAGTGTGCTTCGACCTGACAGTAGGTCTGTTCTGCGCCCATCCAGCTTCCAAGACAAGATTGGGCAGTCCAGCGGGTGGCCGGAGAGGCAAAGCATCGAAGTCCCCATGAGGGAGACTAGAGTCAGATTTGTTAATGAACGAACCTTCAACAAAATTGTTTCGATCTATCCATGCATAGCAGACACTACAGGCCATGTTCAGAATTCCACGACTATCTCTACCCCACTACGTTGTCAATGACTAAGGAAGATGAACAGCGATACCGTGGCCATTCGAGCAATTGCATCGCGACTGTATAGGCAGCAAGTTACATAGGGTGAACTTAGTCATGCGCCTGTTCACTCTAAGCCAGCTGAAGTTAACTGTATTGATATTTTGTTTAAAAGGCCAACATGTCAGAACGCCTAAAATATCGATAACCTGAAGGATAATCAGATGTAGGCGATAAAGCTTATGCTATATCACAGAAGCTGCGAAAAAAAAAGGCAGCACGTGCTCAGCATATTGCCATGAAGGGTAATATTTGCGAGCCAGAACTTGGTAAAAGCTCGGGGTGCAACAGGTGTGACTTCAGAAGTGTAATGGAATACGTGTTTTAAAAAAAGTTTGTATCAAAACCGTAGGTGTGCTGGCTGCGCCGGTGCACAGTGTTAAACACTAACAAAGCATGTGTCGTCAATGGCCCCTCTTTATTTGCATCTAGAGTAACTGGTATGACATGATGATGATGTAGGAACCTAAGTAAGCGTGCGAGAGTATAAAGTTGGGTGTAAATATGCTGACCTATATGAAGGCTGTTTCAAGAAACGCTTAAGCGCTTGAACAGTTCAACCATGAGGAGAGTAAAAACGTTTTCTACCTAAAAGCGTCGAAGTTCGAAGAAGCTGGCTTCCTGGTCAATATTCAGGACGCGTGTCTGAGAAACCTGCTGATCGGCGACTGAGAACACGTGGAATAGAGAGATTCGCAGCCGAGCCCGGACAGTCCACCCAGCAGACCCTTCAGGACACTTTCGTTGTTGCCGTGGGCTTGGACGGCACCGGTGAGCGACCGCAACATGGCCGCGACAGTGGGGTACTTTCGGACGGCGTCCTCGGTGATCTCGCAGACCGCGCGGGTGCGGCATGCTTCGGTGTCCAGACCGACCACTCGAAGCAGGTCACGCCCCACGTCGGCAGACATGCTGTCCGTGACGATGGCGCCGAACGCGCGGAAGCTGGCCTGGAGAAGGTGGTCGACCACGGGAACGTACGTGAGGCCGAACAGCGATAAGTAGAGGAGTCCCAGCACCAGTAGGACGGGCTTCAGGGCGCCCAGGGCTACGGCGATGGCCGGACCAGCAACAGCTAGAGCCAGAGGAACGAGCGAGACCGGAATGGACCGGCTGGCCTCAGCGACGTCCGTTGTAGCCTCCGAGGATATGTTGAACATTATGCTGCTACCTGAAAAAAAAAGACGGCAAATAAAAGCCCAAAGTTCGCAGAAAAAGCTCAAGTAGATAAAAAGTAGGGGGAGTGGTACTGTTATTTTTTGACAGAGGTCATAGTCAAGGGCATAGCACGATTGCGACACGATGTGTGGACAAGCACGCACGACAGAGTCGTTACGCGTAAAGCACTGCGATAGCTGCTGTGACTGAAGAATGTGCTTCAACGAAACGATGGAAAAGCATCACCAGGAAGCAATGAAGAAAGGCAACGGCTAACTTGCATCGATTTTCTATAACCAGAAGAAACACCGTAAATGATAGGCACAGTAATTTAAACGTTATGGTAGTGAGCGTAAAGTTCAATGCGGCAAAGCTGCGAATTCAGATGTGAAAGGAAAAATAACGCGCCCGAAATACTTACCGCTGACAATAACCAGACGGGGCAGCAGGACGAGAAGGGAAGCCAGCGTAATAGCCTGCATCGTTGAGATCACCGGGAAAGTAGCGTGCGTACGCCGAGTGTACTGCTGGTAAGAATCGTGCCTGAAGCTTTGCGTGAATGGTTTATATAGCCTTTACACGGCAACGCAGTTTGCTTCTAGATTATCTCATTCTTATCGCAGAAACTGTAAGTTCTTGCCTCAATGTTGCTATCCTCGTTTTGCGGGTTTGCATGAGTGACGGTTCTATCTTTCGGACGACAAAAAAGGAAGTGGGCAGATGAGATTGGAAAGTCTGGCTTGCATTGCTCACTATTCCTACACAGAAAGGTGACGCCCCTATTCTCGCATCGCTACAAAACGTGGGTGGATGGACTTTAGCCTCATACGAACTTCAATCATGTGAGTGACTGTAGAGGTGGGAGAAACAGATAATAATATTAATAACTAGGGTTTCACGTGTCAAAACCACAATAGGATTATGAGAAACGTCGCAGTGGAGAGCTCCGAAACATTTTGTCAGCCTGGTGCTAATTAACTCGCACTAACATCACACACAGTATACATGGGCCTCTGCTACTTCGCCTCCATCAAAATGAGACCGCCGCGGCCGGGATTCAGCATATAGCATTCCAGTAGATTGCTGCGTATAGCAAAAGTTATTTCGTTAGTTCTTTTTAGAAAACTTCAAAACTAAATTTCTTGTGAAATTTAAATATAGACCTGCAGTGGCGCAGTGACGGGGTGATACACCGAGCCCGTGCCACCCATTCTTTCCGAGCCCCCGAAAATATTTTCGCCACGGCACACATAGCGAAGCAATACCATTTCAAAATGAACCCCCCCCCCCCCACCCTGTGTCCCGAAAAAAAAATTCATTCTGCCTACGCTCTTGACTGTCAGAAAGCTTTTATTGATCGTCCACGCAATTGGTTCCCCCACTGCAAAGAAACGTAGCGCAGTGCTTGTGTGTTTTTTTTTTTTGTAGGCAAACTATAGTAATTTGTTTTTGTGTATACGCAGCCTTACAGCCTGCTTATATCGAGTGAAATCTGCCACGGTGGTCTACTGGTTAAGGTGCTCGACTACTGAACCGCAGGTTGCGGGATCGAATCCTGGCCACATTGTTGATGAAGGCGAAAATGTTTGAGACCCGTGTGCTTGAATTTGGGCTCACATAAAGAATCTCAGGTGGTCAAAATTTTCGGAGCCCTCTACTATTACGGACTCGACAGTGTTTTATGGACGTCGAACTTCCATAATTATCAATAATGTCGAACAAAGAAATTATCCGTGAAGCTTTGAGGCGGCTTGATTTTCATTTGTGTTCTCTCGTTAAATGACCGTATCTTCGTTCCGAGAACTTGAAATTATAGAGTACATGCTTACAAGGTAACCTGTCTTAGAGATTACGTTGCGCCAAAAATCTTCTTTTATCTGAGTATTCCAGACACCAAAAGGCCCAGAAAGTTATTTTTATTATTTTCATGTATGACTTTAGTAGTGCAATAATGAAACACGTGCAAGTTTGACGTGCAAGAAGCAAGAAGGTCGTTACACATACGCATGTGTCAAACCACCGTCAAACGAGAAAAAAAATTATGGTCCATCTCCCCGAAGGGAACATTGATGGGATGCGAAGCAGCAGCAATGCGCTGCTTCGCTAGACACGGGAGGCGGGTTGGGTTTCGTGTAAGTTTCATCACAGACAAACGAGCGGAAAGTGTGTTTTCATTCGACGTGTGGTCGAGCATTGCAGGCGGTGGAGAAAGTGAAGCGAGAGAGAAGTGAGTTGCGAGCGGGCAGAGGAGCCGTCAGCTGCGGCAACAACCCCTAAGACTGCGGGCGCTGCGGCGAGCGTGCTGCGGGTGACGAGAGAGTGACGCCAGCGTGCACCTGCAAGAGAAGCGTGCGAGGGAAGCGGGACGTCAACGCGCAACTGCGGCGTGGCCTACCTGGCACCACTCCAACACCTGCGGCGAAAGGAACGCGTCATGGTGCGTTCGTACGAACGCACGTACGTGCGGCGTTACACCCATTTGGTGAAAGAGCTGCTTCGCATCTATAATATAACGCAATCATGGGGGTGATGGTACTATGGAAGGGAAGTCTTGTTGTGTAGTCGTGGCTCCTTTACAATTTGATCCGAATAAATACATACGTCTTTCTCTAGCAATCGGGTACACTTGTGAAGGCTCTGTGGAAAGGACAATTCAGTTTCTGGATTTGTCTCTGGCGCCTAATGAGCACCACGCTTGCTGGGAGTTTGTCTCCATGTCTAAGAAGCATTGGCTCAGGTATTCTTATAGTGATTCAAAAAGTGTAAAATTTGCCATCCTGTTAACATAATTTTTTCTGCCCTAACCAAGTCTTTGTCCACAGAATGTCATTTATCATTCTAAGTCAAGTTAAACGTCTCGAACTTGGAGCTTTCCCTCTTAACGTCATTGCTCCCATATGTTAAATCTTTGAACAGTTAACAGTGTTCAGGCAAAAATGCGTAATGGCAAATCGGGAAGTGGTGAAGGCTAGCGGTGACCCCGTATATTTGGAGTATCTTCATCCTATAAGAAAGAGTGAATGAATGAATAAGCTTTACTCGATGTCCGGCAGTTTCATTTAGGCGAGGTTGCGGAAGAGGAGATTAACCCCTGTTCCTTTCCACCCTCCGTCGATGATGATGACGGTGCCTCAGGTGACCGCTCGAAGTCCTTGGATCCGGGCGGCATGTTCGGCTTGCCGGACGGCCAAAGCTGGTCGGCCAGCTAGTCGCTGGTGAGTGCCGCCTCCCAGTGGCAGTGAAGCAGAGCCAGCCGATCCGCAGCAGTGACCGCAGTCGCGGCGGCAGCCAGCCCCTGCCCTCGCGCTGGGGCAGCAGTTAAATGTTGACGTCTACATTTCCGCCAGAAATAGGAGTAACAGGCTAGGTGACAAAATTGACAAGCTGTTCTCTGGTGCGAGTGTGTCGTCTAGCAGAATGTGTGCAGTTAATGCACCGCATGGTGTATGCAGTTCATCACTCCCGTATATACCGTTGCGTTCTCATGAAGTGCAAACAGGTCGCTGCCTCGACATTCTACTGCGAGAGGATCACAGATAACTATTTAAAGTGTGCGCCGTAATCCAAGTTGACTGCTTGATTGATTGATTTGTGGGGTTTAACGTCCCAAAACCACCATTTGATTATGAGAGATGCCGTAGTGGAGGGCTCCGGAAATTTTGACCACCCGGGGTTCTTTAACGTGCACCCAAATCTGAGTACACGGGCCTGCAACATTTCCGCCTCCATCGGAAATACAGCCGCCGCAGCCGGGAATCGAACCCGCGACCTGCGGGTCAGCAGCCGAGTACCTTAGCTACTAGACCACCGCGGCGGGGCCAAGTTGACTGCTTACTGTGCCGCCTGTGCTGTTGAAGAACTCCCGGGAGTTCTTCAACACGACCACTGTTTTCGGGATCAATACGGTGGACTGCCGATGCATTCGGTTTCTGCAAAAATGGCGACACGTGTTTAAGCACACCGTCCATTGCGTTGTTCGAATCTGAGTTGACTGACTTGCATAATACTTAAATATAGCGCCTGGAATCTTTCTGCCAATCGCATATGATGCGTGCGCATTTTCTATTCTTCCTTCTTTCCTTTCTTTTTTTTCCTTTTTGTTTGAATATAGCACTCAGTTGTCGGTCAGCGATAGTGCTGCGTGTTTCGTCTTCATCGGAAAGAGAGATAATGGTAACATTAACAGAGACAGACAAAATTGCCGCCTATCCGCGCGCTTCGCTGCAAATGTCGTCGAAAGACGATAGTCTTCTGCCGGCCGTACTACATGAGTCCTGGTCCCATCCGTGGCCTCCCGTGATGCTGTTCTCGTACCATTTATGTCCTGGCATCAAACACGCAATGAAAGTTTGAACAAATTTCATTTGAACGAATTTCATGCTGGCATGTCATATGTTCGTACCTTCACGACCTACCAGTGATGTTTTCGTCGCTCTTGGGCGTCATAGTTTGCAAAGTAGAACCATTTTTGAGACATTAATGTATTTTATTGCGTGGAAGGGTTTATGGCATGTACTGTTGGTACGTCGAAATAGACACGTGCCGAAGTAGGCAGCACAATATCATCGGCAAGGACTTTAGAGGCGAAGCATCTCACGGTCGAGTTCAATCCGGTGTGCGGCGTGACCACATTTGCTGCGCATGCACGTCCTTCACTCTCTCTCTCCTCCACTCCTACAATCATTCCTCTTGCCTCGCAACGCCGACGCAAGAAGCGTCATCTAGCCTACGCTCGCTCATCCTCTATCTCATCTAGGCATCTCTCTCCATGGGCGGCGTTTACACTCCCAATGCGCATGCATGTCCCTATCCCCCTCTTTTCTATCCTACGTCCCTTACCCCCACTCTCGCCTCGTAACGCAGACGCAGGCAGCTACTGCTAGCGAGTTTCTTGATTGAAAAACCAAGTGCTCGCACTGCACAACTAAGGTCAAATTGTATGGGTCGCAAAACTTGGAACGAAAAGTGTCAGAAACCTACTGCCACAGATATCAACGCCCACCGACGATTGAAGCACGACTAGGTAAGGGGGGGGGGGGGGGGGGCAACCAAAACTACTAACTTCGAAGTTTTCTTCGAATAGTCATTTTATGTATCTCGAAGATAAATGTAAATGTAATTTACGGTTTATCTGACACCTGGATAAATGCTTCATTGCCTCCATTTTTGGTCGAGTGCCAAGAATGGAGGAGGAGGGGCGTATCCAGACAATCTGCTATCAGAGCTTGTTTTGACTTCGGCGCAGTGCCAGGTCAACGAAGCATCGCTCACTTTTGCGTCGTGGTTTCATGCGCACCTTCGGTAGTTTATTAACGCGATTGCATTAAAGAGCTTGTTTAGCGAGAATTTTGTTGTCGGCGTCGGCATCGTTGGTTGTGAGCGAAAAATCATCTTATGCGTGACCAAAAAATTGACAACGATGCATAGGAAATAAATGATCAGAACGCCCGTGCCAGAGTGGGGATTGAACCCGGGTCTTTTGAGTCCGAGTGGGGACCAAACCAGGGTCATTTGCGGGGCAAGCGGGTGTTCTATCATAGAGCCACGTGTATAATTTCTTTCAACATGGTATTTAACAGAATGCGT